TGGAATCCCTCTCTCTCTCTCTCTCTCTCTCGTCTTCTTCAGTTAGTGTTTATCATTGGTTAGTTTTTCGTGGCCCTGTGATCGTTGTTTTGGTGGTGGGATGTTGGTTAGTCTGTCTGTCATGTCTTTCTCTGTCTGTCTGTCTGTCTGTCTGTCATGTCCTCTGTCTGTCTCTCTGTCTCTTGCTTACTTAAGTCTTGCTTTGTATTGGTTGGTTCATTGTTGTCATCTTAAAACACACACACACACACACGCACACGCACACACACACACATACATGTTCTATTCACACACCCACCACCCCCCCCCCCCCGCCACTCTGTAAACAATAACATCATTTAGACAGGCTCACGTTACCCAACCTCGAGCACTTAAGACTTAACGTATACAAATCAACGCCTTACTTAATCTTGTACAGTACTTAATACAGTAAAACACCTCCATTTACCGGACTCCAATCTGATGGGTGTAGTCCTTTATATGGAGGTTTTAACGGGTATAGTTCGTTATGTAGAGGTTTTAACGGGTATAGTTCGTTATGTAGAGGTTTTAACGGGTACAGTCCCTTATATGGAGGTTTTACATTTAACGGACTTCGATATAACGGATTGTACTATCTTATATCATTTTATATGGAAGTTTAATATATAATGAACCTTGATATAACGGGCTATTTTCTCCCTTATAGTCCGGTAAATAGAGGTCTTACTGTAGTAATTAAGAGATATGTTAATTTATCATAGTCTAATTAGGTCATGATGGTTAAGGATTTAATTCGTTTACGACCTAATTAGACGATAGACTAATTACTTAAGATAGTGATGACCTGATATAATTAGGTGATGGCAGCTATTGACTCATAATAATTAGAAAATGACCTAATTGCATGACCTAATTTACAGACCTAATTGCATGACCTAATTTACATACCTAATTACATGACCTAATTTAATAACACCAAATTTACTAAACCATAAACGAAATAGTAAACTAATTAGCAGATAAAATAATTAAACCATATCCTAATTGGAATATGACCCAGGGTAATTAAACCATGACCTAATTAATGTGTAAATAAGGTTCCTGGACGCTGCATGACGTACTTATTATTATTATTATTATTATTATTATTATTATTATTATTATTATTATTATTATTATTGTTGTTGTTGCTGATTATTGTTGTTGTTTTTAGGGGGGGGGGCGGTTGTTACCCTCGGCTTAGATACATAATACTTGACCTGTTTTTTCTGTACCGAGGGTGAAGTAGTGGGGGGGTGATGGGAAGAAGATAAAAAGAAGTGGAGGGGAGAGAGAGAGATAAAGGGGGAAATTGGAGGGAGGAGAATGTCGAGAAAGGGAGATAAGAAGAGGTGGGAGATAGAAGAAGGTGAAAGGGAAGGAAGGAAGAGGAAGGAAACAGAGTGAGATGAAAAGAAAAGAAAGAGGAGAGAGAGAGAGAGAAAGGGAAGCAAAAATAAAGATAGAAGAAATTATATAAAAACAAATTTAATTTCCTTTCGTTGATTGAGACACAACAGCACAGGTATAGAAACAGTACAGTACTAATATAGCTACAAGCACAGGTATAGAAACAGAATCCATAAATATAATCTACAAACACAGGTATTTTCTCAATCTAAACATAACGGTGATGAATCATAGCTACAGATGCTTAGGAATTACCGAAGCAGACGAGGAGGAAACCTGACATAATCTGAGGTATAACACAGGTGGTTAATTACAGCCGTACAGTCATAGGTTGAATCAGAAGGTGATGTTTACGTTTTGCTATGTTTGGTTGAGGATCGTCGCTGACTCAGAGATATCGTTTTTAGTGGTGTTGGTATTTTGGGGTGGGTGTGTGTGGGTGGGAAGGGGTGTGGGTGGGTGTGGGAGGGTGGGGTGGATGTGTGGGTGTGTGTATGTATGTGTGTGTGTGTTTGTATATGTGTGTAATGCATGTGTGTATGTATGTGTGTGTGTGTCGTGGTACATTCGTGGAAGAACTTTGGTAACCTGATATTTCTACAGCAAACATTCACACTGATAGACTAAGAGGCTCATTAACTATGGTCTAATCCTTAATGAACCTTATCCCTACTAGAGTCCAATCCAAGTACCCGATCATAATAGGTTCCAATCGTAATAGGTAGTAGGCCCAATTACCTTCCATTGTTAGTGATTAGGGTAATTGTATAGTTAGGACCAATTAAGACATGACCCTATTTGACCTAACAAGCACTTGATGTTAGTGATTTCGTCTTCTCGTGTGTGTGTGTGTGTGTGTGTGTGTGTGTGTGTATGTGTGTGTGTGGCGTGAGCTGGTGGCAGGAGGGGACACGTATGAATTGAGAGACATGCATACATACATACATACATAGATACATACATATACAGACAAAAAAACGCACTCACACAGACAAGCAAAATCAAAACACACGCACACACACACCTTAAGTATCTCGTTATTCTCTTTTCGTCTTTTTTTTCTACCCTTTTGTGTTTTTTATTTATTTTTTCTTTTGTTTTTTACTTTTATTTTTCCTTCATTTTTCTTCTTCTTCTTCTTCGTCTTCGTCTCTCCATTCCTCTCCTCTCCCTTCCTTTCCCTCTTCTCATTCTCCTATTTTCCACTAGTTTATTATTTCACTTTATCCTTTTATCTTCTCTAATTACCATCTTCCCGTGACGTTCATTATCGACTTTTATTCCTCTTCCCTCTTTCCTTCACGCCCTTGCCTCATTATTCTCCCACCCTGTTATTATATTACATTCGTTATCGGGGTTCCTGCTATGTCTCTACGGAGTTCTTTAATATTGTATGAAAATTGATGTTCCTGTGTGGGGGGTGGGGGGGGAGGGGGAGGGGGGGGAGGAGAGAGGGGGGAGGAGAGAAGGGGAGGAGAGGGGAGAGGAGAGGGGGGGGGAGGAGAGAGGGTGGAGAGGAGAGAGGGGTAAGGAAAGAAGGAAGAGAATTAGAGGCAACGAAAGAGAAAGAGAGAGAGAGAGAGAGAGAGACTGTGTAATGTATGTTGATTGAGTGGGTGGGTGGGTGGGTTGGTGGTGGGGTTGGTGAGTGGGTTGGATGAAGACAGACGGTATATAAACAGGGTCAAGGAAGATTTATTACTCAAACTAATTGAAATTTCACCAGGTCATCCAGCACTGTCTCTCTCTCTCTCTCTCACACATACTTGAGAGTTAGTACTGTGTGTGTGTGTGTGTGTGTGTGTGTGTGTGTGTGTGTGTCCTAGCAGTTATTGAAGTGATGATATTTAGCAGTTTGGGATTTGTTGCTGAGTTTAGCGTATATATCAGTTTAGTATTCATTCAAAGATCCATTTACCATCCCTACTACCCATTCACCCACCCGCCCACCCACCCACCCCCCACCCGCCTGCCTTGTACTACCCTTGACGTACACCGAGACCTCAGTAGACCGCAGGAATGTGATCGATATTGACAAACACACAGTGAGGTGGTAGCGCTGAATCCTTAGTGTTTGGTTAGGTTTGGCTATGTTACGTAAGGTTAGGTTAGTTTAGGTTAGGTTAGGTTAGGTCAGGTCAGGTACCATACGTAAACAAGAGGGACACCTGTAGCCACCGTGACCTTGACGAGTCTATTACGTGATCCAATATCAGTCATTACCTGAGGATTAGTCCCCCTCCAAGCTTATTTCACCTGATGATTAATTAAACACCTTGACGCTACCTGTGGGGGGGGGGGTTGGTTAGGTTAGGTTAGATTTAAGTTTGGTTATAAGTCAGATTAGGTTTGGTTAGTAGGGATTAAATTCGATTAGGTTAGGTTAAACTATATTAGGTTAAGTTAGATTAGGTTAAGTTATGTTAGGATAAGTTAGGTTAAGTTAGGGTGTTCAATCTTCAGGTGAAATAAGCTAGGGTGCCTAATCTTCACCTGAACCATCTTCCTTAACCTAACCTAACCAAACCTAACCTAACCTAACTTAACCTAACCTAACCAAACCTACTCTCGAAAATTGATCTTAAAAAAATCCTAGGGTAAAATACACAGGGCCACTAGATGTGTGTGTGTGTGTGTGTGTGTGTGTGTGTGTGTGTGTGTGGTGGAGTGTGTGTGTGTGTGTGTGTGTGTGTGTGTGTGTGTGTGTGTGTGTGTGTGTGTGTGTAGTACTTAGGGTCACCAGGTGTAGGGAGCCAGGTACACACATCAACCTGTACAGTACAATTACTAGAAGGGCAATTACCTGAGTCCTTTACCTCCAATTAGGGTAATGACTGAGGGGAAGAGGTGTGTGTGGGAGATAAGGGGAGGAAGGGAAGAGAGAGAGAGAGAAGAGAGAGGAGAGAGAGAGAGAGAGAGAGAAACAGGAGATAGAGAAGGAAGAAGGGAATTAAGAGAGAGAGATAAAGGGGAAGAGAAGGAGAGAAGAAGGGGAGTATGTATAGCAAATAAAGAAGGAGGAGAAGGGAATTAAGAGAAAGGAGAAGTGAAGAAGGAAAGTGTAAGAAGAATAAGAAAGAGAAGTAAGGAGAAAAAATGAAAGAATGAAATAAAGAAAAGGAGAATATTAAAAAGAGACAGAAGGAAGGGTAGTTGAGTTGTACAAGGCGTTTCAACCTGTGATGTGTTGTTAGATCTGTGCTAAATAGGATCACGTGAGGATTAGACACCCCCCCCCCCTCCCGTTCCTCCCGCCACGATAGAGCTCTTCCCTACCAAGACCATTACCTCCTTCTCTCACCCTCTCTACCCATATCACCACCACCATCACCAGTCAGGCACCAACAGAAGGAGGTAAAGAGCGTGACCTAGTGAGCCAGTTACCACAGCGACCTGACTGTGTACTGTCACAAACACTCACTTCTCAACGTGGGTTTACAGACTGACTCACTATTCACTATACTCACTCTATATTGAATCATTATACTCACTATAAGATGAATAACAGACTGACACATCATCATACTCACTATACAATGAATAACTCGACACAGTTCATCATTACTTACCAAAATGTTGTTGTTTAACGCCCAAGACTGCTGCTGCCACGTCACAAAGATCACTATAGTATACAGTTAGTATACACGTCCCTTCAACACGTCACGATGAGCGCTCCCCCACACACACACTCAGACACTTGACACGTGATAACATTCCCGATAACATTCCCGATAACAACCGGATTAAGTATTATCGATCATTTTAATACGGATTTTCATTTCGGTTCGATTTTAAATTTGTTATGTTTGGTAGATTTTAAATATTATGTGCGTGGGGGGTTGAGTTTGGTGTGGAGAGGGCGGTGAGGTAGCGACACACTGCCTGAGTTGAATATAACACAGTAAGCGAACAGGTGGAATTTTGAACCCGTTGCCTCTCACGCTGGCTAACATAACTACACATTATTTATTCTCACTCTAACTCACCATTCTCATGTAAATTACCCCATGTATTATTTATATTTACTATTATATATACATCTTAAAGGTATATATACTCTCTAATTTACACACAGTGACTTATAATAATATTTAACCCAGCGGAACAAGGAACGGTTCAGTACTGACAACTTTCCCGCGTGATCGATACATTTTGTTGTTGACGAGGTGGTTGGTAGCCCTACATACCTTCCATGCAGTAAGAGTTCTTTAATTAATCACAATTAATTGGGTAAAGGCTCAGAAGAATGTTGTAATAGGCCTTCTGGAGGAGCGTGGTGATGTGGCGTATCGTTGGTCGTGGCCTGAGGCAGTTGGACGGGATAATGAAGTCATTTACCATATAAACAATTGGTTCATGCGGAGAATTTTTGCCGAGTTATTATTATTATTATTATTGGTATTATTATTATTGGTGTTATTATTACTATTAGTATTATTAGTTTTATATAAAGATAAATTATTATGGTTGTATTTATTATTATTGTTATTACAGGACTGTTAACGTTATATAATACAGCGTAGAGTGTAGCCCCAAGAGTGGTGACGTCATACAGTACAGAAGACGGCGCCAGTATCGTCACGTCCAGGAACTGTGTATTAAGTATGTATGACCATGACACACCTGCCTCCCTGCCTGCCTCACTAATACTCTCACACCCACTCTTGCACTAATACCTGCTTTCCACTCACACACACACACACCTGTCTGTCTGTCCGTCTCTCACAGGTCGCCGGCTGCCACACTTACAGGGTGTATCCATGACGCACTGTATCTGGGTCAAACTGTGTCCCTGATTCTGTATCTTTGTTGTTTTGTATTCATGATTCACTGCATACATGACACTATCCATCACACATATTCATGATACTGTATCCAGGTAACACACTGTATCCGTCACACACTGTATCCGTCACACACACTGTATCCATCACACTGTATCCATCTAACACTGTATCCGTCACACACTGTATCCGTCAGATGCGCGGCCGCTCAGTTTAATCCCAGGTCCTAGATCACACCTCGTGCATGTGGGAATTTGGTGATTACAGGTATTAGGTAACTAGCACCCAAGGTCACAACTGGCACCCTCTGGCACTCGGCTATGACATTCCTCCTGTCTAATCCCAGTGTCATGACCTTCTTCTGACACAGTGACCTGATGACCTGACCTAGGTAGTGAAGATGAATTTCCTCTGCTGGTCAATACGAGGGAAGAGGCGTAGTAACAGGTCATTGTACTGTGACCATCAGGGTTGGTGTTGATGACCTAGACAGGTCATTCTGGAAACTGTTCAGGGCCGTGAGTCGTCAACATAATTCCATAATTCCAACAAACAGGGTGGGGGTCGTTCGGTCTCTCTCTCCGGGTGGTTGGTCTGTTATTTGTTAGTTAGTTATGACCTTTATTGCCCCAGTGTTGAGGAGGAGGAGGAAATAGAGAGGGTTCCTGACTACTGCCTTGGGGTACATCGCAAGTTAGGGAGTGAGAGATAAAAATGACTCTTCTGGTGGCAGTCATTAAGGAAGTCAGTAAACCAAGACATTATATTCCTCTAGCTCTCATGGCTGATTACCTACTTGATATTTATAATTTGTGTGTAATTTCTATTTACTTTTCACCAGATGATCTACTTAGAGGAAATATTCTGTAAAATTTTCTTAGATTTTTGTAGTTTATTATCAGTATTATCCTCATTTTTTTTTAATATGTATTTTGTATATCAGTATTAGTTATGGGTTAAATTATTTGTAGTTTTTATATATTTTTTGGATTCAATGTGTTTTCTGGAGACATTGTTAGCGCCTTACATGTGATAGAGGACGCCAGAGGTAAAGGCTCCAGTGATCTGTGTATACCCCCTTTGTTCTATAGTGGCGTAAACATTAAACAGGTGCCTTTTAACCTTTGTGTTGAGGGGTGTTTCCTGGAAGGTGTTGGAGCTTCTCGTAATGGTAAGTTTAGGGTTGGATTTTCCTGGGATGTGGTTCATTATCTTGCCAGTACTCCATCCCTCCACACCCACACCCTACCCCCATGTTGTTGCTTCTGCCCCTCTGTTGCTATGGCCGGTCTGCAACATGTGAGGAATTGCATGACTGTTATTCTAATTATTTAAGTGCTGTGTGCGGATTTAAGCAGGAGTGTGTTGTGATGTGTTATGAATGGGTGTATGATGGTAGGGATGTGATGGGTAAGGATGTGCTAGTGTACTAATAAGATTTTGAACTGTGTATGATAAAAGGTGTTTTTTAACCGATACGCTTGAATATATTACTTTGTTATTGTTGGTTACCTGGGCGATGATGATTTAATCCTTTAACTACAATAATTTAACCCTTTGATTATGATGTAACCCCTTTAACGACGACAATTTAACCCTTTGATGACTGATGATTTAACCCTTCAGGCCTCAAAGGGTTAAACTAGAGAATATACCTGTATCTTAATCAAGTATATATATATGTTTTAAATACCTGTTGGCTGTTGGTGATGAGGTTGGACAGGTGATGATTTATAATGTTTTGGCAGGTATATAACACAGGTGCGTCAATTGATACAAGCTTGTAGGGTCATGGGTAAATATAAAGTGTGTATAAATAGACTCTTGACTAAAATAAGAAACGCGTTCCTGTAGGTCATATTATTTGGTCGAGTTCAGGTGATTTGATTGTAGGTGTGGCCAGGTTGTCTGTAATACACCAACCCCCCTCCCCTCTCTTCCCCTCCCTTACCTAGCACACTGGCCCCCCACCTCCTCTACCCCCCCACCTCCTAATATACAATCCCCCTCACCCTCTCCCACGTCCTCCCACACCACGTCCTCCCACACCACGTCCTCCCACACATGCCTACACCAGATGGCTCATATGAAAGACAGATTAAACGAGTCTGTTGAGTAATTTACACACGAGAGATGAAGTTTTATTTAACATATTCCCTTTATTATATATATATCGTCTCTCTCTTGTATAGGAATTTGTTAATAAAAGCTCTTGTACGTATTCCACAGGCTGTTGTTTTTGTTGACAAGGGTAATTAGGGGAATGACTAGTGTTATGAGTTTGACAAAGGTGTTTTAAAGTAATTATTTATAATGTACAGGTGTGATAGTTTATAAAGAATTGGTTTCATGGTTTTGGAAAGGTGAGGAGCCTGGGATAAATGTTACATACATACATACACACACAGACATACACACGCAAACACACACAGACACACACACAAACACACACACACGCAGACCACCGGGGATGGTTCTTATTCTTAACCCGTTTTGAGGCGAAATCTGTGTATTTAACCTTTAAGATGTTTATAACTTAGGGAGACAAACGAAGACTCCCTCCCTGGCCCTCATGAGTCTCCCTCCCTGGCCCTCATGAGACTCCCTCCCTGGCCCTCATGAGACTCCCTCCCTGGCCCTCATGAGACTCCCTCCACAGCCCTCATGGACTCCCCCCCCTGGCCCTCATGAGACTCCCTCCCCTCAGCCTCATAGAGACTCCCTCCCCTGGCCCTCATGAGACTCCTCCTGACCCTCATGAGACTCCCTCCCTAGCCCTCATGAGACTCCTCCCCTGGCCCTCATGGGGCTCCCACCCTGGCCCTCATGAGACTCCCTCCCTGGCCCTCATGAGACTCCCTCCCTGGCCCTCATGAGACTCCCTCCCTGGCCCTCATGAGACTCCCACCCTGGTTAGGTTAAATTATGGTAGATTCGGTTGTGATTGACTCGGTTGCTTAGGTTACGTTACGTCGTTAGGTTGTGTTATGATAGATTTGGTTAGGTTAGGTTAGGTTAGGTTAGGTTAGGTTAGATTTGGTTAGGTTAGCTTTAATCATTGTGTAAGCTGAGGGGGTGGCTAATCTTCAGGTGATCTAAAGTATGTCTCACACTAAGAATAGAATAATTTACGCTTTATGGTGACGTGTTAATTAATGGTGAAAGGTCAAGGTAAGGAGTGTGGAGGAGGTAGAGTGTGGTGGTGGTGATGACAGTAGATATGGCAGGGTAGTGAGGGAGAGAAAGAGGGAGAAAGGGAAGGCATGAGGGGGTAAGAAGGAGGAGGGAGAGAGAGGGAGGAGGAGAATGACGGGGTAAAGGGAAGGAGTGAAATGGAGTGAAAGAAGGGGAGAGGGAGAGAGGCAAGGTGGTGTGAGGTACTCCAGAAACCAACAGGTAATGAGACAGGTGTTGATTACCAGGACGGCAGGTGAGAGAGGACAGCCACCAGGTGATGCAAGGAGCCGTCAAAACACACACACACACACACACACTCACTCACACACTCTCTTCATGTGTGGTATAACGTGCTGCAGGTAGTCACGAACGAGACTATTTTCGCTATTCAGTTATTTTTAGTTACTGCACTCCGTAATAATCTGTCCGTGTGTACGTTAAGTCTGTCGCCATTACTTATGTTCTTACTGATATAGACAACGTAGGTATACATTTTAACAGGTATATACAAATGCAGGTATATAGTCTATGTATTATACCTGAGGGATCTATATATATGCTGAATCGATAAGGTAAACATGTATGGCGATTATATTGAATAAAATGTATCTATCTATCTATCTATTGTATCTATCCATTTATCTATCTATTGTATCTATCTATCTATTTATCCATTCACTCATCCACCCATCCACCTACCCATTCACCCACCCATTCACCCACCCATCCACCCATCCTAAATACCTTGAAGGAATCGTAACAGCAACACACCTGAAGTAAATATAATCACTCTCCACAGGTGCCCAGAGAATCTAGTCATGACACCGTAGGCAGAGCTTACCTACCAGAGTGACGTGACCATCAGGAGGAGCCAGGTAGATGTGAGAGAAGAAGATGGAAACGATAACAACACTAAGATATTCAGTTGGAT